TCAGCTATCATTTCCCTCCGATTTTAGGGATAAATTATGGCTAGGTTTAGGGGAAGGGATAGAGTTAGGTCTATGTTTTGGACAATAATGTTGATCCAGGAACATGTCTTAGTAGGGAAAATCATGGCGACCTTATATCATACGAGTGCCTCGATTTAGGAAAGAAATCATTGGTTAATCCTTGATTAATAATGTAGTAATTATCATTAAGAAAAGAATTGGAGGAAAATATGCAACTTTGCTAGGTAGGGATGTAACGATTCACTCAACTCACGATTCGATTTGATTAACGATTTTTTTTACAAAATGAAATTGAAGACATTATACAGTGAATGAAATTGTGTCATTTTATTAGGCTATTGCTGCACGTTTCTTTGTGAAATTTAAATAAAACTAAACTAAATTGAAATTTTAAAACAAACCCCAAATCAAATAAGCAAGTTGCACTAATAAAAGAAATCTCTTCATATAAACAAACTAAGGCTTTGTCTGTGCTCTTTCCATTTAAAATTAGAGGCAACCACTGCATTTTAATCACTATCCAAACAAAGATGCAGCATGAGCAGTTTTTAATATAAATTAGACTGCATAATTTCGAAATTTGAAGCAAAAACAGAATGGTCTGACTTTAGTTTTGTGACACTATACATAAAACATATCTGAAGGAAACAGCAGACGAGTTGAATGAGACGCATATTCACTCTCTGCCAGCAGGTGGCGCTTATGAACACTTACACAGCGGTTTCCTTGGTTACCGCTGTAAACAAAGCAGAGCACAGCAATGATACAGTGTTTCCTTGGTTACCGCTGTAAACAAAGCAGAGCTGCGCTCATGAACAGCAATGATACAGTGTTTCCTTGGTTACCGCTGTAAACAAAGCAGAGCTGCGCTCATGAACAGCAATGATACAGTGTTTCCTTGGTTACCGCTGTAAACAAAGCAGAGCTGCGCTCATGAACAGCAATGATACAGTGTTTCCTTGGTTACCGCTGTAAACAAAGCAGAGCTGCGCTCATGAACAGCAATGATACAGTGTTTCCTTGGTTACCGCTGTAAACAAAGCAGAGCTGCGCTCATGAACAGCAATGATACAGTGTTTCCTTGGTTACCGCTGTAAACAAAGCAGAGCTGCGCTCATGAACAGCAATGATACAGTGTTTCCTTGGTTACCGCTGTAAACAAAGCAGAGCTGCGCTCATGAACAGCAATGATACAGTGTTTCCTTGGTTACCGCTGTAAACAAAGCAGAGCTGCGCTCATGAACAGCAATGATACAGTGTTTCCTTGGTTACCGCTGTAAACAAAGCAGAGCTGCGCTCATGAACAGCAATGATACAGTGTTTCCTTGGTTACCGCTGTAAACAAAGCAGAGCTGCGCTCATGAACAGCAATGATACAGTGTTTCCTTGGTTACCGCTGTAAACAAAGCAGAGCTGCGCTCATGAACAGCAATGATACAGTGTTTCCTTGGTTACCGCTGTAAACAAAGCAGAGCTGCGCTCATGAACAGCAATGATACAGTGTTTCCTTGGTTACCGCTGTAAACAAAGCAGAGCTGCGCTCATGAACAGCAATGATACAGTGTTTCCTTGGTTACCGCTGTAAACAAAGCAGAGCTGCGCTCATGAACAGCAATGATACAGTGTTTCCTTGGTTACCGCTGTAAACAAAGCAGAGCTGCGCTCATGAACAGCAATGATACAGTGTTTCCTTGGTTACCGCTGTAAACAAAGCAGAGCTGCGCTCATGAACAGCAATGATACAGTGTTTCCTTGGTTACCGCTGTAAACAAAGCAGAGCTGCGCTCATGAACAGCAATGATACAGTGTTTCCTTGGTTACCGCTGTAAACAAAGCAGAGCTGCGCTCATGAACAGCAATGATACAGTGTTTCCTTGGTTACCGCTGTAAACAAAGCAGAGCTGCGCTCATGAACAGCAATGATACAGTGTTTCCTTGGTTACCGCTGTAAACAAAGCAGAGCTGCGCTCATGAACAGCAATGATACAGTGTTTCCTTGGTTACCGCTGTAAACAAAGCAGAGCTGCGCTCATGAACAGCAATGATACAGTGTTTCCTTGGTTACCGCTGTAAACAAAGCAGAGCTGCGCTCATGAACAGCAATGATACAGTGTTTCCTTGGTTACCGCTGTAAACAAAGCAGAGCTGCGCTCATGAACAGCAATGATACAGTGTTTCCTTGGTTACCGCTGTAAACAAAGCAGAGCTGCGCTCATGAACAGCAATGATACAGTGTTTCCTTGGTTACCGCTGTAAACAAAGCAGAGCTGCGCTCATGAACAGCAATGATACAGTGTTTCCTTGGTTACCGCTGTAAACAAAGCAGAGCTGCGCTCATGAACAGCAATGATACAGTGTTTCCTTGGTTACCGCTGTAAACAAAGCAGAGCTGCGCTCATGAACAGCAATGATACAGTGTTTCCTTGGTTACCGCTGTAAACAAAGCAGAGCTGCGCTCATGAACAGCAATGATACAGTGTTTCCTTGGTTACCGCTGTAAACAAAGCAGAGCTGCGCTCATGAACAGCAATGATACAGTGTTTCCTTGGTTACCGCTGTAAACAAAGCAGAGCTGCGCTCATGAACAGCAATGATACAGTGTTTCCTTGGTTACCGCTGTAAACAAAGCAGAGCTGCGCTCATGAACAGCAATGATACAGTGTTTCCTTGGTTACCGCTGTAAACAAAGCAGAGCTGCGCTCATGAACAGCAATGATACAGTGTTTCCTTGGTTACCGCTGTAAACAAAGCAGAGCTGCGCTCATGAACAGCAATGATACAGTGTTTCCTTGGTTACCGCTGTAAACAAAGCAGAGCTGCGCTCATGAACAGCAATGATACAGTGTTTCCTTGGTTACCGCTGTAAACAAAGCAGAGCTGCGCTCATGAACAGCAATGATACAGTGTTTCCTTGGTTACCGCTGTAAACAAAGCAGAGCTGCGCTCATGAACAGCAATGATACAGTGTTTCCTTGGTTACCGCTGTAAACAAAGCAGAGCTGCGCTCATGAACAGCAATGATACAGTGTTTCCTTGGTTACCGCTGTAAACAAAGCAGAGCTGCGCTCATGAACAGCAATGATACAGTGTTTCCTTGGTTACCGCTGTAAACAAAGCAGAGCTGCGCTCATGAACAGCAATGATACAGTGTTTCCTTGGTTACCGCTGTAAACAAAGCAGAGCTGCGCTCATGAACAGCAATGATACAGTGTTTCCTTGGTTACCGCTGTAAACAAAGCAGAGCTGCGCTCATGAACAGCAATGATACAGTGTTTCCTTGGTTACCGCTGTAAACAAAGCAGAGCTGCGCTCATGAACAGCAATGATACAGTGTTTCCTTGGTTACCGCTGTAAACAAAGCAGAGCTGCGCTCATGAACAGCAATGATACAGTGTTTCCTTGGTTACCGCTGTAAACAAAGCAGAGCTGCGCTCATGAACAGCAATGATACAGTGTTTCCTTGGTTACCGCTGTAAACAAAGCAGAGCTGCGCTCATGAACAGCAATGATACAGTGTTTCCTTGGTTACCGCTGTAAACAAAGCAGAGCTGCGCTCATGAACAGCAATGATACAGTGTTTCCTTGGTTACCGCTGTAAACAAAGCAGAGCTGCGCTTATGAACAGCAATGATACAGTGTTTCCTGGGTTACCGCTGTAAACAAAGCACTCATGAACACTGCTTTAATTTGCATCATTCAGAGGCCAGATGAAAAGAAAATACCACATAAACTTTTCTAAAGATTATCAGTTGAGTATCATTTGCCCGGGGACCGGAACTCGGACATCTGTAGGTTTCAGCGCCATAGAGAGACATTGGAAGATCCAAAGCTCGCATCGGTTTGATGGTGTTTATGCTACAAAAATGGAAAAACGATGTGCCTGGGGTTCTTGTAACACTGATTCCAGTTATCCTGAGAGGATAGGCAATCAAATTAATTTTATTACATTTCCTGAACCCAAACAAAAATGTCCCAAAGCATTCAACCCCAATCCCAATGAACATGAAAACGTTCATTTTCTGATTGTCATACTCTCATTAAGTTACACTTTTCATCTGCTCAAGCAGAACATTAATGCCATCTTGTGCTTCAGCAAGGTATCTCTGGCCAAAACTAGTTAACATTGAAGTTAGTGCGTCCATGCTAACGTACAAACCTAAATAGCAGACTGTTCTCGCGTCTTGTACAGTGTAGGGCAAAAACACATAAACGAAGGTCTACTTTTCAGTGCCTCTCCATATTAAACTGGTTAAATGTGAATTAATTTAATCATACCCTGCGATACATGAACAGTGTTAATCCTGCATATTGTCATCCGCGATCGTGACGACCATAACCATTGTGACCATTGTGATCTGTAAACCCTCGCTTCCAAATTAATACCCACAATATTTATGTTAAAATCTTTTATATATCCCTCCATGGCATATTTAATTCCCACTTGAATGGTGTTCATTCTGTGTCCAAAATTGTGCAAAAACATCGAGGGGCAAGGTTTTCACACTGACAGCTCTCATTGTGAGAGAGTGAGCAGCTCCGTTTGTTTGTCTGAGGGAGCAACAGTAACTAAGGGGGTGGGGCTTACCGATAGGTCAATTGCATGGCGATTTGTTTGGCATTTCAACCGATTTGAATCATCACACATTTTAATCGATTTTCAACCGGCTCGCGGTTTATTTTTACATCCCTATTGCTAGGTGATTTCGCTTTGGAATCTTCAGAGAACTTTAACTCGATTTTTCTCAAAATCAACTCTGCTGTCGCTTTCAAACGGCTGTAGCTCAGTCATTTTTGTCCGATTCCAGCAAGTCATATAACAATAAAAGAACAACAATAAAAATAACTTAATTTTGAAAATTTGCTCATTCCGACTCATTTTGCCAGCATGGGTCACAAATGTTTTCTGGCCAATAGCAGATGCGGAAGTGTGTGTGAAAGAATGACCGTTCATCCATCAGACTTGCTGTGTTGTTCTGCAGTTGATCAGCGGCGGTTCGGTGGTCAGCGCGGAGGCAGTATGGGATCACGTGACGATGGCCGAGCGGGAGCTGGCCTTCAAAGCTGGAGACATCATCAAGGTCCTGGACGCCTCCAATAAAGACTGGTGGTGGGGTCAGATGGATGACGAGGAGGGCTGGTTCCCCGCCAGCTTCGTGAGGGTACGTCTCAACTCTCTCATCTCTCCTGATAAGCTCCTAGAGCAGTGGTCTCAAACTCAATTCCTGGAGGGCCTCAGCTCTGCGGAGTTTAGCTCCAACCAGCTCCAAATCACACTTGCTTGAAGGTTTCTAGTGATCCTGAAGACCTTGATTAGCTGGATCAGGGGTGTTTGATTAGGGTTGGAGCTGAACTGTGCAGAGCTGTGGCCCTCCAGGAATTGAGTTTGAGACCAATGTCCTAGATCTTATTGTTGAACGGCTCAAGGTCTGAAGTGAAGAAATGGACATGGATTAGATGCGTCCGGCTGGACTTCAGAAAAAGCGCAGTCAGTGTTGAATCAGTGTTGCCAAGCCATTTCTATTCTTAGAGAAAATTAAAACCAAGTGTATTTCTGTCATTCTTTCCAAAGGTCGATCCCCACCCTCCTCAACCTTACACAAAACCAGTTTTCTATATCAACCCTATAGCAACTCCAAGGTTCCATAACACAACAGCAAAGGTGCGTTCCCAGTTCCTCAAATCTCATCAAGTGCTGCTGATTTTGTCAACACAGCCGTCTCACAAAGCATTTAAAGCATCCTAATGAAATCACGCTCCTAGTGCGCTTCATAGCTTTTCAAATAGATGAGCATCCGATATGTTTCTTCATTACACACGCTGCTTTGGATGCGTTTTGTAATAGCCTCCGAATGTTGAAATAGATGTTAGTAGTAGTATCTGCTTTGCATTCAGAACCATCTTCTCGTTTCTCATTTTATGTTTGCATCTCTGTAGATGCCTAGATTTGAATTCGCAATCAGTGTGTGTAATAATTCTAGATTCTAGAATTTTAAAGCTGTTGGTCTGTGTTGTATTTTGATCAAGGAACGGGGTTTTAGACGCTCAAGCAAATATTCCTGACAGGAAAGAGTTGAAATGTAATGGTGACTTATGAATGGAGAATTACTGAGAGTGAACTTTTATGCCCTCACTTGACCCGATGAGTTAAGACCAGACCCTCCAAACCCAGGCCAAGACTAGACCCCTCGAGACCCAAACGCACATCAGAAATCAATACAATTATTATTTTTCTCCACCATACATTTAAAACAAAGAAGTTGTCCAATTGTTTTCCAAAAACAGAAATCTTTTTCTTTTTTCTTTTTGTACATTTTTTTTATTTTACACCAAAAACGAACATAAATGAAAGCACAATGCTATCATACAAGTTTCATACATGTTTCACGAGGCTTTTTTTACTTCTTTGAACTAACAAATAAAGTACCACAGTACTTTTTGAATTTACTCTATAATAGTATCAAAGTTACTTTAAAAAGTGCATGTCGTTTCTATTTCGTCAGTGTATTTAAAAACAAAATTAAAAACCTCACCCTTTTTTCCATAACATAGACCTACAGAGAGCATGTGATGTACGAAACTTCAAAATATACTGGTACTGACCCGCCATGGAAGCAGCCCAGAAGACATGATCTCATAATGTAACATTCAAGATTGTGATGATTCACAGTTTTCCCAAGATTGTGATTCCTGTGTAAATAGATTTATGCCACCATTAAATTTCTGTTCCTCGTTAAAACATGAAAAGTCTGCGTATATGCCACTTCAGAAGCATCTTCGGTCCCACTTTATATTAGGTGGCCTTAACTACTATGTACTTACATCAAAAAAATAAGTACAATGTACTTGTGTTCAGTTGTGTTCATATTGTATTTTAAAACACTTTTGCTGCTATTCAGGTGGGATACGGGTAAGGTTAGGGACAAGTTTGGTAGGTTTAATGGTGGGTTAAGGTGTTAGAGATGGGCCAACAGTGTAATTATACATGCAGGTATTTTTAAAATACAAGTACAATGTAAAAGTATGTATGCACACAATAAGTGCATTGTATCAAATTATTAATTTAAATTGATAAAACGGATAGTTCCGGTGCTTGATTCTGATTGGCTGAGCCACGTTCGAAGCTGTTGTAAATGACTCTACAAAGTAACATACACCTTTGTTTACGTTTGTCTGTTGCTCGGCAACCACTTTGTAGCAATCACAACTGTTTCTGAGGAACTACATTGTTTGGTGGAAGAATACTGTTTTTATTAATATCATTACACTTTATTTGCTCTGTTTTATTTTGTGAAACCTTACTACGTATATGGAATAACCAGTTTATAAAAGCAATAAGCCCCGTGAAGCCGTGGTTTACAGTGAATTTATAACAGCTAAGAGAGGTTTTAGACTCCGCTTCACCTCGTACCTAACAACGCCCCTCAGCTGTTATAAATTCACTGTAAACTACGGCTTCTTGGGGCTTATTGCTTTAGTAAGTACATAGTAGTTAAGCCCACCTAATATAAATATCTTCTGTGCCATCTTGCAGCACAATGCATTCTTATCTGAAACCATAAACTGAAACCCACAGCAAAGGCAGATTGTCTTATTACCAATGCAATGAGAGCAAGACTGCAGCTCATCATTCGTTTGGAATAAGACGTGTCCAGTCAAAAATGGTTAAAGAACAACTGATGGTGGAAGTCTGTAGAGAAATCAATTAGTACTTTTGTAACTATGGTATCTTTAAATGCATGGACTTCTCAGTAAAAACAAACAACAACTTTTGTCAGTTAGCAAAAATCTTTACCCCAGTGAGAATTAGGACTCAAACCTGTTCCCCTTTGCAAATCTCACAGCTTGAAGATGTAATATAGCTGTATGCCTTTGTTTGTTTGCCGTTAGCTGTGGGTTAACCAGGAAAATACAGCCACAGAATCGGCTGAGGGTGCCGGTGAGGTACAGAACGGACACAGCGACCCCAGCAACGGCTGTCTGTGCATCGGCCAAGCGCTGCAGAACCGAGACCAGATGAGGGCCAACGTCATCAACGAGATCATGAGCACTGAGCGCCACTACATCAAGCACCTGAAGGACATCTGTGAGGTACCATGGAGCGATCACAGGGACAGTTCAGCCAAAAATCAAAATTCATGTCATCATGTGGTTCCAAACCCATAGGACGTGCGTCTTCAGTACACAAATGAAGATATCTTTAATGAAACCTGAGAGATTTCTGTCCCTCCACTGAAAGACCTTTCACCTAAAATGTTGACATTTCAAAAAGTTCATTGAGGAATCCCTTTACTTAAGGCTTTTATGATTAACGCATCAGATATGGTAAACACACTGTAACTGCTTGGCATGCAAAATAAACCTCGTTGGTTCTCACGTTAAGCAAGCATGGTTGAGCTTCTGCTTGCCATATTTGATGAGCTCTATGTGTGCGCGTTGATCAGTGTTTATGTGAAAAGCCTAAATGAAATCAGTGCATCATATAAAGTGACCGTGTCTGTTCAGAAGACTTGGATTAAATCACTCAAGGGATTATTTTGCAATGTGTTCATGAACTTTTTGAAGGTTGAATAATTAGTTAGTGGAGTGGACTTTCAATGGAAGAACAGAAAGCAAAGGCTGGAATTACGTACGTGACTGAACTGAAGGTGTTTCTGTCTGCAGGGATACTTGAGGCAGTGTCGAAAGAGGATTGACATGTTCAGTGACGACCAGTTGAAAGTGATTTTTGGAAACATCGAGGATATCTACAGATTTCAAATGGGATTTGTGCGGGACTTGGAGAAACAGTACAACATTGAGGAGCCCCATCTTAGTGAAATCGGACCGTGTTTTCTGGAACATGTGAGTACATTGCCTTATGGCTAGGTAAAAACTTCTTATTTCATATTATAGTCAATTTTAGCTGCACCTACCAGCTCCTTCATGATGAATCTAGAAAATGTCAAGACAGTCTGCGTATATTGGTTGTGTATTGATGAGTATCAGCTATTCAAACGTTTGAACTGATTCCTGAAAACCTTAAAACGCATTTGTTTGATTAAGTTCTGACCGTCTGCCATACAGCAAGACGGGTTCTGGATCTATTCAGAGTACTGCAACAACCACCTGGATGCCTGCATGGAGCTCTCCAAGCTGATGAAGGACGGCCGCTATCAGCACTTCTTCGAAGCCTGTCGCCTGCTCCAGCAGATGATCGACATCGCCATCGACGGCTTCCTCCTCACCCCTGTGCAGAAGATCTGCAAGTACCCTCTACAGCTGGCCGAGCTTCTCAAGTACACAGCACAGGACCACAGGTAACACACACACACATGCACACACACACACGCACGCAGGCACGCACGCACACACACACACACACGCGCGCACACACACGCACATGCACACACGCACACACACACACGCACGCAGGCACGCACGCACACACACACACGCACGCAGGCACGCACGCACACACACACACGCACGCAGGCACGCACGCACACACACACACGCACGCAGGCACGCACGCACACACACACACGCACACACGCGCGCACACACACGCACATGCACACACGCACACACACACACGCACGCACACACACACATGCACGCATGCCACAAAAACACTGTCTAGAGATCTGAAGCTGATGTACAGGCCAAAGCAGAACGTTACAGAAACATTCAAACAAACAGATATCTATAGCCAGGGAGATATACGACTATATAAACTATATATATATATATATATATAAACAATGGTGATACTAAGTTTGCGAACCCTTTGAAAATAATTCGATTTCAGCATCGATTATTCATTAAATGTGCTCTAAATTTGACTCAGAATTAAAGACAAAGGCAATCTGACTACACTAATGACACAGTCATGGTTGTACTTTTTACACATTTTATTATTATATACATTGAAATAAGTATAAGTAAGTGAACCCTTGAACGTAAATAACTTTAGGTCCTCCGTTAGCAGCAAAACCTCCACCCATCATTTTCCTCTAAACAAAACATTGTGCATTTTTGCAAATTACATAAAAGTTAATTTACTTACAGTCTCATGTCCTAATAGTGAAAACATGGTAACACTTTATTTCAAGGTGTCCTTGTTACACGTTACATGTACTTACTTTTATAATAACAATAAATGATGCATAGTTACATGCAAGTAACCCTAATCCTATAGTAAGTACGTGTAGTCAATTAATATTACTCAGTACTGAAATGTAGAATTACACTGTAACAAGGACACTTTAAAATAAAGTGCAACCGAAAATATTATTATATATCGAGTTGTTATATCTTGTCAATGATCACTGACTGCAATCAAAGTTTGTGTCATATTAGTTGAGATAGATTGTCTCAAGTGTCTATATATATGTGTTATATATGTATGTATTTATTTATAGTCTGTGGGTGTGTTTTGTGCTTGTTCTGGCAGTGATTACCGTTATGTGGCAGCAGCGCTCGCTGTCATGAGGAACGTCACCCAGCAAATCAACGAGCGCAAAAGAAGACTGGAGAACATTGACAAGATCGCTCAATGGCAGGCCTCGGTGCTGGACTGGGAGGTGCGTTTGAAGAATATCTGTAATAGGTTGTGCACTGCCAGTCCCAGTTTGTGTGCCCAGACTCGCGAGTGTTTTTGCTCTGGTTAGGGTGATGATATTCTACACAGAAGTTCAGAGCTGATCTACACGGGTGAGATGTCGTGGATCTATCAGCCGTATGGCCGGAGTCAGCAGAGGGTCTTCTTCCTCTTCGATCATCAGCTGGTCCTGTGCAAAAAGGTACGTGATCTTCACAAAATATTTCGTTTTCCTCAAAAAGGGGTTTGAGATGGTCAGCTAAAGGATAAAAGTGTGGGCACTGATCATAAAAATGTTCCTAGACCATATTAAATGCATAAGCATTCCTTACATTGCCGGATTTGAATCTCAAAATCTGACAATAAATTAGAAATGCATCCTAAAGTTAGAACCATCTCACAAGATGCAGGTTTTATTGAGTTCATGCAGTGTAACGGTACACAAACATGACGCTTCGGTATGGTTTCGGTACAGCACGAGGAAAAAAACGAAACATAAATTAATTTAATTTTAATTAAGCAATGGTTTACTGAACAAATTGCTCTTTCTTTAAATAAATTCAATTATAATTAAAATGTTCTTAGGGATAAAAATCAACCTCAGCTTATGGTCTCTAAACTATGGTGATTATGTAATGTGGCACTTACAGGTGCATAAAGATAATTGCAGGAGAGGTGGGATTGATGATCTGCAGAGAGCAGAGCACAGCGAGTGTTTTCAGTGTGGGATTGATCAGAGAAATGAGCCGAAAGCAGTCAAGAGCGTCCAAACGTTGAGAAATGCTCAGCTTCACTGAAACTGTGAGGCACAGACAGAGTCGTCTGTTTCATAAGTCTTCATAAGTGTTTCATAGTTCATTCAGATTGTGACAAGTCTGGCTTTGTGTTTGTTTTCAGTACACTGACAATATAATGATACACAATTACTGTCGGGGAGTTCAAAGAAAAGATACCAGTTTGATATTTTTTTAACCCAGCAAGTCTAGTGACAATAAAAGTGTCCAAACATTGTATATAAATCAAATGATTTTCTAAATCCAGATTTTTAAACCCATTTCTCAACTTTTGGACTCTCTTGACAGCTTTCTGCAATCCACTGCCACTCTGACAATCTTATTTGCATTAATATGTAGCTCGGCTCCCATACGTATGAACTGAAAATGTCACCGTTAGTCTGTATTTATTGCATTTACACACAATCGTGTCGCAAGCAAAGGCGAGTGTGATTGTGCTGTGGTCGTTAATGAGCCTCTGCATCTCTTCTCAGGACCTGATCCGTCGGGACATTCTTTACTACAAAGGGCGCATTGACATGGATCGCTATACGGTGAGAGATGCCATCGATGGACGGGACGACGACTTTAATGTCAGCGTGAAAAATGCGTTCAAGCTGCACAACAGAGACAGCGAGGAGATCCACATCTTCCTGGCCAAGAAGCCGGAGGAGAAGATCCGCTGGCTGAGGGCTTTTCACGAGGAGCGCAGGATGGTCCAGGAGGATGAAAAAATCGGTAAATTCCCATGCATTAACTGTATTATCATTGCTGCTTTAAAGGGGTTTCCGTATGTCCTCAATGCCACCAAGGTACAGTGCTTTTTCTGTGACCCTCCTCACATCTTCTGTTGCTGGTTTTGTTTAGGTTTTGAGATTTCTGAATACCAGAAACGACAGGCTGCCATGACGGTGCGTAAAGTGGCCAAACAGAAAGGTGAGGCAACAAAGCGATACCAGGTGAATTCAACATTTTTCTATTTTAACTCCTGTCTTCTTATTGAAGTTGCTTTACTCTAGTAAACTGGTGTAGACAGAGTAAACATATTCTCCTTGGGCTCATTGTTTGGGCAGTAACTATTAACTGAACGACAGTATTCAGTATTATGACAGTGAGTCGATTTGATGCTTTCAGTTTTAATAATGAGCTACGTTTTTAGAAGTGTCTCAGTTCTTTCTCAGTCCTGTTCACCTTTAAAATGAAGGTGAAAATACCCCAAATAATACTTAAATGTTTAAAGGGGTCATGGAATGTTGTTTTTATCCTCCTGCACTCTTGTGAACGATCTCATCATAAGCAGAAATGCCCTCAATTTAATCACAATTCTAATTAAAATTAGAACTATTTTTTTTTTCTCATGATACTAAAAGGAACAAATGCTCCTTTTGTGTGATTTGGACACTTTGAGTTGTGAAAATTACAGTATGTTTTTATAATGCTGTACAATATGTCCTAATATGAAGGAAAAGTTGTTTCCACACTTCATGACTCCTTTAAATACTGCTGTTCATCATGTATAATTCAACCGTGTGGATCAGGGTTATATCGTAGTTATATATTTTAAAAGGTGCTTGATCTTTACAAGTCTTTAATGAGGGAGAAATAACAGAATAAAATCATTCTGCTTTAAAGAATGAATACAATAGAATTTTCTGCCATTACAGTAAAGTATATAGAAATATATTCAAGCAGCAATATGCTGATTGATATTGATGTCTAATTTACATTTTGTAAAAATATGTAAACAGTGTAGAGATGTTCTATTCAAATGATTGCAGTGTATTTTTAGGGGCCAAGCACTGAAGGTGCGCATAGTGTCTAGGGTAAAACATTGTGAAATTTGGTCCACGGATTAAAGGACTAAGTTTGAGGTTTGCCTCCACAATTCTGTGGCTTATAACTTTTGATCCATGTGGACTGGAAACATAATGTGATTGTTTTGCTAATGATTTTACTACGACGATAATTCAAATAATTAAGATCATAACATATAGGCAAAACCACTCAGCGGCGAATAGCGAACTGTTATTATTAATTAATCTGTAAACATAGCTAATTGTATATGGACGATACACTTAAAAATCACATCAGTTGCATAAAACTGGATTAGAGGCATCTGTAGTCCGTAATGAACTGAATCATCTGCACTTTTTTCCTTTTTTGTGCACATATTCACTTCTGTCTGTACACCTTTTTCAGCGTATAGCACCACCTATTGGTCAAATGTTATAAGTTATTCTACTCATGTCAGTTAAACCGATATTTCCTAATATTCTCTGCATCACATAAAATGTTCATGTAATGGACCTCCTGTGTTTGTGCTTGGCCCCTTAATATCTGCTTTCAGTTATTTATATTTCTTTTTTCATGAAGATATAGTGAATGCACATTTGATTTATAGTGAATACTTCATATATTATCGGTGAATATTTTGGTGTCATATTTACACTCTGTTGTGAATCCTCAATGCTTCACTGACAAACGGTGAAGTGTGTTCTTGAATATGCAGATTCATTGATAGATATCATCTTGAGAAAGAGGGCCATGTTATATGGACATGGTATGAAATATGATAAAGGTATTCTCATGAGCGCGTAAAGTAGAATTAGTTTTTCTACAAAATGCCATGGCAGTGAATTTGAAATGCAACTATAGTAAAACAATTAAGAAAAAAATCCAAACCTAAGAATACTGTTAAAATCAGTCAAACCAGACTCTATTATCTGTAGATATTTAATGAGATTGTTGATCTGAAAACTAGAATTCATTATTTACTCACATTGCTATAGCCGTATGAATGTCTATCTTTTTCAGAAGATAAAAGGAGAAATGAGCTTGTGGTTGTCCATATACACTCTAAAAAAATGCTGGTTTAAATATAACCCAGCGCTGGGTTAAAAAGGGACAAACCCAGCTATTGGGTTGTTTTGACCCAGCTGTTGGGTTGTTTTGACCCAGCTATTGGGTTGTTTTGACCCAGCTGTTGGGTTGTTTTGACCCAGCTATTGGGTAACTGATATTCCCAGAATTCCCTGCATGACACTCCACATCTGAAAATATTTTGTTTAAATAATCATGTTTTTTTTTAAAGTTTTTGTGATTAGTTATGTATATTTGGGCTTTATGTTACATCATCTGTTGTTTAATGAAAGTTAAATGCATTATTTAAGTATCATGTGTGTTACCATGATGATGTTTTGTGTTTGCATGAATGACTCTGTGCACCTTCTATATATTAGTATATACTTCTGCTTGTGGCGAAGCTACTTGTGATGAGCTTTGATTCTTTATGTGGCTTTCTCTTTTACCACCTGCATTATTATGGTGGTTGTCAGTATGTTAAAGGTACAAAACAGATTTTAATAGCAGTGTGCATTGTTGAATTTACTGGTTTACATTAAAATTTTCTTGTTTGTAAATTACAGTTTTATACTGTAACATTTACAGTTTTTGGCCGTAAATGTGTTTACAGTTTTTCTGTATTTTTTACAAAATTATTCTGGCAACCACAGCTGCCAAAATTATTTTGTAAAATCTACAGAATTTTTTTTACAGTATTTAACCCAGCATTTTTTAGAGTGTATGTGCTGTAGAAACAAGAGAGCAACTCTTGAATTGCAGCTTTAAATCTCACAACTGTGACCCTAATTATTTATTACTTAACTTACTTGTCACATTTCTTGTCATTGTGTCTTAAAATATTATAGATAATACTATTTGTTAAGGCAACAGCTGATAGAGAATGATGTTAATTCTATGTTCAGTTCATAAGCCTATCTGTGTCATACTGCTGTAGAACAGGGTGAGTAAATATTGACTGAATTATTATCCCTTTAAGTTGCTCAGAAACTCAACTCTGAAGCAATAAAACAGATTGTGTTTCAAAATGCCATGTTTTTTTTTTTTTGCTAGAAAACCAACTGCCTAATTATAGCTGTATATATGTTTCTATTTATATTGGTTTCGCTTATATCATGTAGTTGGAAAAACTAAATATATTTAGTATTGCTTAGAATCATGGTATGTATGACTATAGCTCATACTTAATTTTATCATGACTATGGTAAATTCTGCCAGAATATCATAGTTAATACAGTTCTACACAGTTATATATGATACACAGTGGCCCCGAAATGTATTTGGACACTTAATGACTCAAACACCAGTAAGTTGCTGAGAAAATCACTTATTTGTAGGTTTGATACTTTGTATCTAAATCCGTTCAGACTTTGAGTACGACTTTTTGGGGCCACTGTATATACAGTATATATGTGTGTATATGTCTGTAAAAAAAATTATAACTTGGTATTATCCAATTTGTCATCAAAGCAGTTTTTGAAACAGTGACTGTATTGACTCTGGTATTAATGTGGAAACTGTGGCTGGTTACCATGGTGCATTTTAAGGGATGTGCTGTATGCCGTGAAGCATGATTCATCATAGCTGTGCACCGATTCTGTTGCTGTGAGCATTGACCCTCTCTGCCTCTCTGCTCCTGTCTCAAACGTCTCATGTCTCTGTCTTCTGATGGGAGCAGGTGTGAGCCAGAGCAGGTGCGTCTCCCCGGTGGACCCCTCGTCTCACGGACCCCTCATGCTCTCCGATGACACTCTACAGTCAGACCTAGTCGAATTCCACGTCTCCAAATCAGGACAATCTCCATTCTGGCAAAACCTTAATAAGCTGACGTCGTTAAAAAATGGTAAAAAATAGTTGACTCTGTGTCTGAATGCTCCCAGCAATGACGTTCAAGCTCAAGTGTATTTATTATGGACCTTAAAAACACCATGAACCTCCATCTGGATATCACTGACAATCACGAGGCTGATGCGATCATACCCGGATGCTCACATGTGTCATGCACTATTACTGTATCTCCACTTTGAAGGCCAAATTCAGTCGAACTGACCAGCATAGGGTGCTCTTTGGCCTGCTGTGACAATGACGGCCATCAAATTGATATGTGTCTCAAAGGTTCAAAGACATGAAGAGCATCCACATGAGGAAACTCGTGCCGTACACTACAAATTAAGACGTGGAGTGTGAGATTGTAAGCTTTACACACAATTAACAATCAAATCGTCTAAACAGGGTGTTGCTTTCTAATCCACAGAGGTGATTTTGTCAATCTGAGGAACACAGACTTTGACAACATGATTATTCCTAGTATTAGTGAACAAGATTTGTCACAATCTCGTATCATGCTCTCCTCAATCAATCACACACGTTGTATATTGACTGAAGTCATTTCATATGATAAATATAGATGTTTTTGTATGTCTATAAAAGGTAAAGTAGATTTTTGAATTTGCCTCCAAAGGGGGTTATTTTTGATTGTATTATATGATTACATAAGTACTCCGTAGTAAGCACACTGAAACATTCATATGCTTTGTATTTGAGTTTGGTTGTTGTTCATTTGTAATAGATACACTAAATACTATTTATTGTAGTTAATGGCAAATAATGAGCAGGTGTAATGCACAGAACTCCTGGGCCATGAAATATATATGTAAACGAAGACAACTGACATCCTGAAATTAATGATCATATTTGTTCAGCATCTTTTCTGAATCTTTCATCAGGTTTAAAGCTCCCCATGAATGAAATTTAAAAATAGCCTACACCTGCATTCATTTATTGGTGATTGATGAATTAGCAGGTTACATTTGGCACAGTGCAAAGTAGACAATGTAAGAACACACGGGATGTGAAAATTGGTTTGTAGGATATGAGCTCATGTCTACAGATACACCTAAGCAGTTATGTGATTAACTCATAACTATATAATCTAATCTATTGGTGTTCAGTAATAATGCACTTCCTTAGTTACTTTCTTATAAATGTTTAGTATGAATTTACATTTTGCCGGCTGTAATGATGTGCTATGTTTTAAAGTAAAGAGTGAAAATAAACTTGTACTTTCTGTTGTTTTCATTTAAATGACTAAGCCACTGTAAAATACTACATACAGGTATCATGAGACAAGTTCAGGTATTGCTTAGAAATATCTTGTTCTGAATAAAATTGGAAAGGTCTTTTCTCACACACATGACACAAAAAAGCCAAACGAATCACTGATGAAATGACCTTTGAACATTCTCATGTCAGAAATAAAAGTAAAAAAAAAACAAGAATTAGCCACAGTTATGATGCTCAACTAAAGTAAAATTATTTGCAGTTATTTGTATGTTTGAATTTGATCAAGGTCAACAGCAAAACCACTGGTAAATAAAGTGATATTAAACACATAAAAGTATATTTGCATTATTTAACATTCTTTATTGGTTTACATAAAATACAATGTTTGCATTGAACTGTGTGTTTTATGTATTTACAGAAATACATTAAAAAAAAGTGAGATGAGTAAAGAGCATCTGTTGCAGAAATCAGCATCTGGTGCTTAATTTAAGTAGCACATGCAGCAACGTATAGAGCTTACAGTTTGAGTGTATGACTCATATGGCTATGAGTGTAATTTAACAAATGGTTTAACAAACAGGTTTTACACTTTTTTTTTCTTATCCTAAAGGAAACCATCCGTCCATCCAATTAAGCTTTGGAAGGAAACTCAATTTCTCAGGCAACTTTCTCCACCTGGGAGATATAATCCAGCCAGCACATCGTAGGTCCTCCCTCTTCCCGGTTGAACATGCCCAGAACACTTCCCCAGAAGATATCAGATCCTGTCCAAATGCCTCAACCACTTCAACTGGCTCCTTTTGATGTGGAGGAACAAGGGGCTCTACTCTGAGCCCCTCTCAGATGCACAAGCTTCTCAACCCTGAGGTTAGCACTGACGGATGAAAACTCACTGGGAACAAGCTTGACTTACTACCAAGAATGCAGACACAGCTCTCACACTTGTTGTATAGGGATCGAAAGGCATGCACAAGTGGCAGCAGTACACCACACTCCCATAATGACCTCCACAAGACACACTGGATAACGCAGTTGTAAGTCACAAAGCACATTCAGACTGGATAAGGAAATGGAATCAGTGCAATTGAGGATTGGCCACTCTGGCGTAGGTTTTCCCAGGCCGGCTGAGAAGTGTGATTCCTCGATAATTGGAACACACCCTCCAGTCTCCTCATCTGCTGACAAGGATGAGAAGGAGCTGCAGCAGATGCCATCAGCTTAGGGGAAGCTTTGGTCTACACTAGGGCTGCCCCCTAATAGTTGACGAGAAGACGTTTGAAATGTCGCCACAATAACAGACCAGTGGATAAAACTCTCTGACGTATTTTAAAGATTCTATGCCACGAACTTTAAATATTTCACATACTTTTGAAAATCCAGCATTTAGTTGATCCTGATAAGCGCTTGTCATCACAGTTGTAAACACGACGGCTTTCTTCTTTCGTGAGGGGGTTTGGCGTCGGCACGGCATCTTTGTTTCCAGGAGGAATGTTAAAGAGCACGACACGCACGTCTCCCGGAAATCCTGTATAATTCAACCAATCTGATGACGACTTCGAAACTCCTGAAGTGTTTCCACTTTTGTGTGCCATATGCATCAGACGTTCAGCCAGCGGTCTGTGAGAGTGACGTCTGAAGCTGAGACTAAGGGCAGCCCTAGTCTACACAACCTGGAGCTCTGAGAAACTTCTGGGCCAGAAGCAAATTCAGGCACAGCTTCCATAGTCATAGGCATGGATTGCAAGCCAAGCTGTGGAAATGGGAGTCCCTGGTAGATCAGGAGAGTGCTAACATCCCAGCAGGACCATGGTGGCTCCAGAAGGTCGAGGAATCTGGATGGGACAGGGTAATAAGCTAGTGGGGAGCAGGTAAGAAAATAAATTGGGGTGGAGACAGTGGTGTGTTAAATCAAGAAATAGCTGGGTGACAATGTGCTGTCATTCTGAGAGACCCATGGGTAAACCAATCCCAAAAGGGTTTCTTCTTTTGTCTGATGGCCTCTGTCACCACCAGTGTCTAATAGAATTTTTTGGCGTTGGCACCACAACAGCCATCAACAACCTTCCAGCCACAGCTCGATGTCAAAACTGAAGGCTTTGAACAGGTCCCACTCAGACTCTCCAGCCTCCTTCGGGATAAAAGTATAGCTGTTCCAATGTCAAATTTAAGTTAAAGATTTTCTAATCCTCTGGTGGTGATCAGCTAACAAAAAAGCTCAAAGCAGCAGGGGACGTTGAAGGGTGGACGTAACACTGGTTGAGGGCATCTTCAACATACTCCTCCATGGCCTTCTGTTTAGGAATGAATATTGTGGATATATGTGACCCTTGGGCAATGGTGCACCCAGACAGAGGCAAGGTGGTAATTTGGCAGCACGGCCAGGATAACTTTAGACATTCAGGAGGGCCCAGTACTCAACAGAGATGGTGGTTTTGACTTCACTCGACGAGCTCTTGACTGAAGTGGTACAGACTTGTAATGAAGGAACAAAGTGAGAGGCTTCCGAGGAGATTCTTTGCAGCAGGTGGAGACAAGTATTAAACATGTCTGACCCCAGGCCTGAATTTCACCTATATCCCAGGATATCTGAGACAAGTGTTCCTGGAGTGTTCCATCCTAGGAAGATATCGGCAGTAGAGCCCTCCAGAACCAGAAGTGAAGTTTCCTCTGAGCGTGTGAATCCAGAATGAAGATTAACTTTGTCCATTTGATGAGTGATGCCCCTGCCTAGAGTTCTTCCCATTATGGAGTTAGTGTTGAGCAGGGATTGGCAAGGGGATCACCCCGGATGGGGAGCCGGTGGTGGAGAAGAAGCTCCATGCCAAGCCTGAGGCGACAACGAATTTGACTGCAAGAGAGTGGGACGCACTAACGATTACCGCAATAATATTCAATTGAGTATGAATTACTGAGAGGGCTTAAATAACACTCACCGCGGTACAAGGAGGTATGACTGGACATTCAGGAACGAGGTGACCGCCTACTCCACAGTAGAGACGAAACTGAAGTCTGTGTCAGTGTTGCCAACTTAGCAATTATGTTGCTAAATTTAGCAACTTTTCAGACTACCCTAGCAACTTTTCTTCCAAAAGAGCTTGGCCTCAAATTTAGCTTTTTTTTTTTATTTATTTGGCAACTTTTAGCAACTTTTGATAAGTGACTCAGACAATAAAAAGGCACAAATTTTCCATCCAAATTACACAAAAAGAAGAAAACCAAATATGCCTAGCAGTACAAACATCACATGAATTGAGTTAGCTGCTATTTGCAACTTTTCAATTTAATAGTAATAATAATAATAATTGAATAGTTTAATAATTGTTTAATTGTTAATTTATGATACACTTTGTTAGTAGCTTCTAGCTTGTACCTGCAATTGTTGATCAGTTAGTACACTATAAGAAAAATGGAAAAGATACTAGTAATTTTCCAGGACATTATCCATTATCCATTGTAACACAGTAACCCAAAAACACAATGCGTAATTTAAAATGCAGGTAAAAAAAACAATACGGAAAATTCTTTCACATTGACATAGTCAGTGCATTCCAAACGGGATATATCGGCCTCCGAAGGGCACTTTGAAAGTTAAAACAATCATGGCCGCCATATTGAAAGGTCATTCTAAACTGAAGTGCTCAAAACTGGCCATTTCATAGGGCCCTTCGGAATGAAGGATTTCGAAGGTTACAACTGATGGACACTTCGGGCTCCCATGAGCCTTTGTGCAGATTCTTTGCATTATGATGGCGCCTCTGTGTGGGCACGTGATGATGATGCAGAAGGGCACTTCAAGAAACAGTTGTTTGGTCCCCTACACCCTTCAACCCTTCAAAGCTCTCACTCCGGAGGGTAAACCCTTTGAAGGGATTAGGGCATAGGGATGAGCCCTTCCGAATGGAACGCAGGGTGTGTCACATGTCTGTGTGTTTTGAGTCTCCTCTGTGACCTAGTTTTCCCAGTCTAATTAGTCATTTGGTTCACCTGTGTTTGCTTAATTATCCCATTAGTCCCTGTGTTTATAAGCCCTGACTGTTCCTTAGTTCCCTGTCTGCTATTATTTGTTTGTATCTTCGTGTTGTTGTGCTACCCTTTGCTCCTGGATTCCATAAGCCCTGTCTGTTCCTTAGTTCCCTGTCTGCTATTATTTGTTTGTATCTTCGTGTTGTTGTGCTACCCTTTGCTCCTGGATTCCTTCTGATTCTGGTGTGGATTTATCATTAAAAGACTGTTATTTGGATTTCTCCTGCGTCATGCGCTTTTAATAGCACAGCAACGTAACAGAATAGCAGACCCTCAAGTGAGTAAATATAGCGGCGTTTTTCTTTCTTGTTTTGTTTTGTTTCTCCCCTCTCCCGGAATGGATATCCCAGCTGTTCAACTCCTGTGCCTGGAGCAACAGGACCGTTCGCTGGAGGACCATACCAGGGACTTTTTAGATCTGGCGTGCCTTACGCACTTCCCTGACAGAGCGGTGTAAGGCACGCCTGCCAGCGAACGGTCCCAAGGAGGATTTCGCCGCTTTCGTGGAGTGGGTGCTGGAGAGAAATGGACTGTATTTCTCCGTCTGCCCCGCCGAAGGGGACATCTCCAGCCCCACTCACGAACCAGAGACCAGTCAGCTGTCATCCCGCTGCATGGAACTATTGCCAGAGCCCACCTCAGACGGAGAGCCTGAGCCTGCCGTGACACATGAGCCAGTGCGTAAAGCCGCGACTGAGCCAATCATCACCCTGTGGCCTGAGCCTCTAAAGAGTTCTGACCAAGTGCATGAGCCGGCAAAACCGTCCGTTCCCGAGGGAGTTTTGTTGGAGATCGAGGGCTTGAAGGGAAGCCCCACCCACACTTCCACCGCTGAGGGTGAGCTGCAACTGGCCACTGGACTATATATTGAGGAACTTATGGACATTTTTTATATGGATTTGATTGACTGGGTTAGGGAGGTGATTCCCAGTGTTTCTATATCTCCTGCGCCTCCACTGGTTCCATCCAGCTCCTGTTCTCCTGTGATCCCTCCGAGCCTCCCTCTCCCACTTCCTCTTCAAAAACCAGCCAGTTCTTCAGCCCTATCTCTGCTGGTGCCTGTCAGTCCCTCAGCTCACCCTCAGTCGGCACCATCTGGGCGCTCTGATCTGCCTCGGGACTTCCAGTCTTCAGCTCCGCCTAGGTGTGAGGATCCCCTGTCTCCGCCTCCAGCCTCAGAGTCCTGGACTCCACCTTGGTCCTTCGACCCATCGGCTCCGCCTTGTCTCCTAGCTCCCTCATCTCCACCGTGGCCCGTCATCCCACTGGCTCCGCCG